GGTGCTCCATGATGAAGTCCGGCAGCCTCTCCCCGGCCCCTTTTGCCACAGCTGCCGACACCAGCCATAGGAACAACATCCGAAAGATCATGATGCCATCTTGTCGCACCCTCCAAGTTTCCCATTCACTGAGGTCGCTTCGGCCCCAACGACCATCACCATCGCGAGCTCGTAGTGGACGAGGTCCGCCATCCTGTGGACCCTGACCTCGAAGTGCCGAAAAGGTGCGACAGGGAGGCCCTCCAAACACCGCCTTCACTTTGCCGGTGAGCGCCAAATCAAGGAGTGCCGCGTAGGTGTCATCTGCCATGATGTCCTCGGCCTGGTCCACCGTGATCACGCAGGCCGCCTCAGCCGACGACTTCCAAGTCTGCCGGTCCTTACCACAAAACAAGTGGACCCCAATCGTCGAAGCTTGCCTCCACCGCTTCCGCTCACGACGATTCCACGGCACCTTCATCCCATCCATGGACGCCACCACCGGCACCGCCGAGATCAACCATGAAGGTGCATCAGGAAAAAGGCGCCGCAGCCACGCCCACGAAACACCCACCCCATTGCGTAGATCCTTCACCGCCTTGGTCCCCAGCTCCCAATCCAGAGCCGGCCGATCGCTGCAAGTCTCCACCAACTTGCACACAGCGAGTTCCGCCTCTCGCCTGCGAAGCTTGGTAGCTTCTGCTTCGCCAATCAATTCCAAGCCAAGGGCTCCATCCAAATCTGGACAGCCGTTGACGACGCAGGTCTGCAAGTCACCCTTCACCGGGTGAACGATTCTGCAGCCCTCCCCTGTACACCAGGAGACCCGGCATCCGATCGCCATGAGGTCCGACATTGCTAGGATGGGCGAGGTCTCACGCTCCGTAAGAAGAGTGCCGCCAGGAAGTTGATAAAACAGAGCCTCGCCCTCTGCAAGTAGCACTTTGCGCTTTGGAAGCCCCGCAAGCTCCTGCCTTGTAGCCGACCTCATCGATGTCGTAGCTCCTGAATCCACAAGCGCCGCGCCTGCGCCCCCACCCAGGGCGCACATCCGATCCAACGTTGCCCTGGCCAACCTCAAAGACTTGAGAGCCTTGGCCGCCTCCTCAAAGATGCTGCATCGGAGGAAGTGGTCGGTGCCGCAGCAATCGCCCCCGTCGCCGGAGTTGAAGAAGTCACCGAACCCCCCTCTGCCAAAACCTCCTCCGCTTTGCGCACCGCATCTTTGGCCTTTCCACCACCCTTTTTCCTTGGTCGCCTCGGCGGCTTCTCCTCTGACCCACCCTTACCATCTGGACTTGTAGTAGAGCTCGAAGGGGCAGGTCCCGAAGGGGTAGAGGACGACGAATTTCTCGAATCTCCCACTGTGGCCGCCGAAGAAGCTACCCCCCCTTGCCCGTTATACGGGCACTGAGGCTTGAGGTGGCCACTGCTGCCACACGTCCAGCAATGACCTGGCCCGAGAGGATCATGCCGAAACATGCAGTTTTGGCCATACTTGCAGCCGGAACCATCATTCCATCCCCAGCATGGCTGCTTGCTTTTTCCACCTTTTCCTTTGCCCTTGCCCTTGTCCCGCTCATCGCCGTTGTTGTTGGCCTCCTCCATGCGGTTGAGCTTGACCTGCGGCACCATGGGCTGAGCTAAAAGTGCCGCTTCAAGCTCTCCAAGGATCAGCTGCGCATAGTCCTCCACATCCGAGGCCTTGGCCTTGTAGTCCAGCTGGCGCTCCAACTTGAAACTTGCAATCCTGAACGCCGCGCTTGGGTGTTTACTGGGGGTAAACACTTGAGCGTGAAGCTTGTCCAAACCTCGGCAAAGAAGACTGGGGTCGGGAAGCACCACTTGAAGCTCCTTACCCCTTCTCAGCAGACGAATCCACTTACGGATTGAGGCCACTGCTACATCCACGGCGCTCCCGGTGTCAGGCGACGTAAGGAAGTGAAGAAGAAACGCCTTTTCTGCTGACCCACCCGGCTGGAAAGAACAGTGCACCAAAAACACCATTGCCAGCACTGTAACCGCACGCACTGACACAGCCTCGGCCTTGAGGTCCTCCGGCAGGCTGTCCAGAAGCAACATGGATGCGCGCTGTTCTACCCGCTGGTAGCGGTCCAGAGGCGGGCGATCTGCCAGCACACCTTGTCTTATCTGCAGTCGGTCCACTGGAGTGGACTCCAGCCACTTCTGGTAGAGCTCCGTCACCTTTCCCATGATCCGCCGCCACCACGTCGAGGCCGTACTGCTCAAGCTTGCCATGCTTGGCTCCAGCTGGGCAAGCCAGTCTCCCGCCACCACAGCTGCATCCGTTCCTTTGGTAGCCATAAGAGGCGGCAACTTCATCACCAGCTTGCTCGGCTCCTCCACATCCCCGGGAGAAGTCATCATTCCGCTTCCCGAGGTCGTTCCTGCAGCCGGTGCTGTAGGTGGAGGAGGTGGGATCGGAGTTCCTCCTGGCGTAGAGTTATCACCCTTTGTAGTTCCCCTCCTCGGTGTAGTCGGAGACCCTGGTGGAGGCGGTGGCGGAGGCGGCTGCGCCGCACCCGTTCCAGGCAGAATCGCGGGGGTATACGTCGGGGCGGCCAAAGAGACAACCGCCGACGCCTTCGCCGATTCCACAGCCTGGATGACCATCTGTCCTTGCACCATCATGTAAGGTCTCCAAACACCCTCCACATACACAAGGCCTGTTGCTGGGGCTCCCATCACAAGCCCTTGTCCGCGCCCCCCTTCAAAACCTGGGGGCACTGAAACACGACCATCCGGGACTGGTGGACCATCTGACGCCGCACTCTGAAACGGGGTACCTGTCTGATCCTTCTCATCGTCCTGACCACCCAGAACTGCTGCACTTCCACTCTGCATCAGATCACCCCCTTGTCCTATCAGCGACACCCATGAGGTACTTGCTAGCTGCATACCTGACTGACCGGATCCCTGAGGCATTCCTGAAGACTGCATCAACTGCTGACCAGATCCCTGAGGCATTCCTGAAGACTGCATCGGCTGCTGACCAGATCCCTGAGGCATTCCTGAAGACTGCATCGGCTGCTGCGTGGATCCCTGCGGCATTCCTGAAGACTGCATCGGCTGTTGCATGGATCCCTGCGGCATTCCTGAAGACTGTATCGACAGCTGGACAGATCCCTGAGGCATTCCCGAAGGTTGCATCGGCTGCTGACCGGATCCCTGAGGCATTCCTGAAGACTGCATCGACTGCTGAACGGATCCCTGAGGCATTCCTGGAGACTGCATTGACTGCTGACCGGATCCCTGAGGCATACTCAAGGACTCCCTCTGCTCAGAAGCCATAGGAACATCCGGAAGAGGCAGAAAACTTCTCACATTCGGCTCCTCCGGTAAGATCACAGGCCCCAGCGGTGCCGCCAAAGGTCCTAGCAAAGCCCCAGGTACACCACGCACCTGAAGATCCTGCTGAGCCGCTCTCAAGCGCGCAGTCTCTGAGTCATCTGAGCTGAACGTGCCCGCGAAGATGGAGTCCATGGAAGCCAACGGTCGTTCTGGTGCCGAAGCTGCTTGTGGCTCAATCATCATATGAGCGACCCGCTCGCCCAGGCGATGAAGATCCATCCATCCCGCCGTTCCAGCCTCGGGGGTTCCACCCATAGGTGTTTCCATTCTCGCTGAGGTCGATGTTGTGGTTCGCCTGCCCGCGCTCGACCCAGTTCTCGACTGAGCCTGCTCCACCCGCTCCATCCGTCCCACCAAGGTGGTCACCAGCGAAGTCATGTACGCGAGGGAGCGGGCAACCTGTCCCACATCTGCACTCCTCCTCTCTCTTGACCCTGGCCTAGTGGCATCGGCCGCTTGCATACGAGCTTCCACCAGCTCAGCCGCCATCAGCTGACCACGCCCCAGACCATCATCCAGAGCATCTGGTACCGGTCGCTGCCTACCAGAGGAAGGAACACGAGAATCCACAAGATTCTCGGTCCCTTCGTGGTTTCCGTGGCTTCCGTGCGCCGCATCCAAATGCTCTGCCGCTCCGCCAGAATCATAATCTGGTTCCCGAACATCTTCATCAACACGAACTTCCGGAGCTCTTGTGCTTTCCTCCGCCACAAACCCATCCGCCACCTGAGGCAAGCCTTGATCATCTTCACGCGGTGCAATCCCTCCCTCCACCGGGATATCCTCTGGGCTTGCCTCGCTCGCCATGGCTTGCCAACGGCTTACCACCCTTGTTAAAAGGGCAGCGTTGGGCTCATAACCCCTTTACGGGGTAGCGCTTCCTTTTCTTGAGATTCCAAAGCCTTCGGTGCTTGACAAGTCAGCATGTGCACGCACAGAATTAGAATAGGGTTTTGGGGGTTCCTTATTAAAACCTATACTATAACACACCCAAAACCCGATTCTAATTTCGAGGATGCTTAATATTATGGTGAAGAAGTCTTGACGACGTTGTCGTCTTGGGTCGTGGTGGTGGCAACTTTCAAGAGGATTTCCACCACTGCGGCGGTCGGCTCTCTTATTCAGGCGTTTCGAAATGATCCCAGCGGAATGCAAATACACAGCAGTTAAATACATATATACAGTTATATACATACATGTATATATATATATATGCACATACACGTATATGTGAAATACAAAAAAACATGTTCATGAATTCTTGTGTTTCAACCACCTGCCGCTCTTGACTGACGTCAAAGGCTTTCGGACCGAATGCGTGTGTCAGCGCTTTCAGCCCCTGCTCTTTATCGTCATTCTGTGTTCGGTACTGTAATGGAGTGAAGTGGTCCATCATCCCAACGGACCCGCAACCTAAGGTAGGCAGAAACTGTTGAACAAACGATAACTCCAGGCGATAAGATAACAATGTCACAATACCAGCTGCGCTAATGGGAAGGCACACATCGTTATGGGCATTGCTGCAGATTTTCCGATGCCGTGCTCTCTCGGCATCTCACAAACCACGAAGGAAGCCTTCCCATCAATGTTCGTCCCAGCGAAGCTTTGTGGTCAGTGGCGCCAGGTTCAGTCCATACAAGACAGGCCACTGGAAAAGGATGCAGCCGAGAGAGTAAACATCGCCTCGGCTTTGAGGCAGATTGTCACAGCCCTGCACTTTTCATCCCAAGAATCCTCTTGCTGTGTTCGAGCAAGTTCAAAATCTCTATAGAAAATCACTAATTTTCACGAAATCCTAAACTGTACCAAGGCGACTCGTGTCACAAGGAGGTCGAGTCTCGCCAAGGACAGTCCTTCGCAGCCCCTTTTTGTTACGGGGTTTTCTGTGCGCCTCTCAAGTTGTGCACTCCATCCTTGACCAGGGGCCATGCACATCTTCTCTGGGATCGTTCCAATTTTTGTCGGAGGGTTGTGCAATGGTGTCAGGGCCACTTTATTCTGGTCTTGGTTTGGTTGGGACATGGTAGCAAACCACCCTGACACGAGACCTCTCCAGTGATATAGCTGGCAGAAACTTGTACTGTTTCGATCCGTGGAAGTCACGCACCAGGACAGTCTATGCTGGTTTGGCCAGCCAGCTGGGAGAGATGCTGCGAACTCGCATCATGTAACACGCGCTCTCACAACACTCAAAATTGAAGCATTATTCCTGGCGGCATCATTGCCACACAGAACAAGCAGATCAGCTCTAGCTGTGAACTCAGCAAGTGCCTTAAGGAGCCCTCGCACACTACGACGGCCCTATGAAAAGCCCTGCACATTCCCTTTGTAAAGACCCCCAGAAGCACCCACTTCAACCCTAAACCCTCCCTCCTTTTCCAAAGGCCCCCTATCGGAATCTCAGTTCCCCACACTTCGGTCCGAAGTTGCCTCGGGTTGGAGGTCTGAAAATCGTCGCACCAGAGCTTGGGAAAGTAGTACAACGATATGGTCAAATCTAGTATAACCTGGTATAAGACCATATACGATGGCATAACACAGCCTGATACAGTGGTATACACTATGACACCGTGCTTCCCAGCATGATATGCTAGTTTGGAGGATGTTTTGGTATTGGGTTTTGAGTCAGAGTCAAGGTTTCGGCTTGTGGGCTCTGTTTCGAGTGAGGGATTGCATGGCTGTGGCGACGGAGGTGTAGGGAGGGGTCTGGATTTCAGCCGGTGTTATGTGTAGGGGTGTACAAATTCGAACCGGACTGCTGTCACCCTTAAACCGTAGGCCCTAAACCCTGAACCCCTTTTGCATCCAGGACTCTTGCAAGCAGCCGGGAAACTCCACACCCTGAACCCCTAAACCCCTTTTGAAACCGGACTTGATGACTGCCAGCATTGCCTTACCCCTAAACCCCTAAAACCCTTTTTTGAGCGAGGTCTCTCCTCAGTGCATCAAACCCTAAGGCCCTAAACCCCAAATCCTGTCGCCCCTTCCGAGAATGCTTTGGGGCGACATCACCGGCTCTACAGGACGGAAGGTAGTGTCTCATTGCGAAACCCTCGGCCTTTATTCGAAACGGTTTAGGGTTCAGGTTTAGGGTTTAGGGTTCAATTTTGGTTTTTAATATGAACCCTAATACTGGATACAGGGCCAAGGCTTCTTAATCGGGCTCCCACACTAGATTCCACTGAGTGGTGGTCACAGAACCTTTATATAGCAAAAGATCTCAGGTAGGTTTTGGGGACCAAAACCCCCAAGTTCTCGAAACTACGGCAAAACCCGGCCTTCCAAGAACAACCGAACATTGTCCACCCTCCGTGCTTCGGTTTTAAGTGTTCGGGGAAGACAACCAAACCCTTTTCTAAGCACGGACTTGAACCCCTAAACCCTAAACCGCAAGGTTTGCCGGAGCTCTGAACATCACCTCCGGGGCCATGGTCGTCTTCGTGCCGCCGTAGATCTTCCCTCTTGGGAGACTCGGCAAGAACCTCAGAGCGAAGCTGAGGTTCACCTCACGGATTCTTGCCCCAGCAAATCTTGATTCGGGTCGCGGATCTGCAGAAATTACAGTACTGTATACGTACATTCATACGTACATACATTCACACGTACATGCATACATACACGCATGCATAATGCCTACGTACATGCAGACATACATACGACATACACGTTGAATATCCGTGCATACAATTAAGGATGCTCAAGCACAACTGGCCGACGCCCACACCTGCAGAGGCCTTGTAGAAGCCGCACCAGGACATCAGGAAGCTAGAACCCTAACACCCCAAAGTTGACTACGTGCAGTAGCTCAGTAAGACTACGATCCGATTCAGGTCATCTTCGCGGTGGCCTCAGCCTTACATCCATCTGAGAACTGCACATCTCAGCCAAGCCAAGATCGATGATGATGCAATGTGGCCGATCACCCGCAGCGATGTCAACCTGATGCCTGGGCTTCCAGAAAAAAAGACTAAATACATGCTACTTTGATACTTTGGGGGTGTACATACATTATTGTCAGCTGCAGCCGTGGCAACGAAGGTTCTATGTCCCTAGGTGGGCAGCAAGTCTGAAGCACCAAGAAGAGCTGAACGCGCCATACAACTTCCAGTCAACTTGTGAACTCAAGCTCACAAATTGCAGGCACAGGGGCAGCAGCATGATGTTCTCCGCCTTGAGGTCCTGGTTGGTGGCTGAATTCTAGGCTGGTGGCTGAACTCTAGGCTGCTTGGCAGAACCATGCAAGAGTCAGGCCTGGACCACAACCACGGATCGTGAATGCACAGCAGCAAAGATGTAGCCCATGCACCATGGATTTCTGAGACGACGGTTCCCTCATGCTGCAGCATTTGCACTTGCACAAGAAGAACGACCTCAGGCTATCCACTCGCAAACAACTTATGCAGGTTACAGGCTTACCGGATTACCTGCACGGTGCCATGTGCTATTGCAGCCAAACAAGAAGAATGGATGAACCAAGGCATGATTGAAATTCAATCTAACAAAGAAAGCTTGTAACTGGACGAATGTGCGAAGGTACGATCTATGGAATTGCCCACCAATGAAACACGCAGTCAACATGAGCCGCACTCTATCTCCATGTGACACTATGTGTGCATTCACACGGAGAGCCTCTTCAAACCCACCACCGCAACCACCATAGCAAGTTCATTGCTACATCATTGCATCTACTTACACCGACGGCTGTTGCTGCTGCTGTGGCTGCTGCCACCACCACCATCACCACCAGCGCCACCACCACTGCTCCGGCTGCCGCCACTACTACTGGTATGACTACTGCTGCTACGTACTATTGCTACTACTACCACTATTACTACTACTACTACTACTACTACTACTACTACTACTACTACCAATTATTATTATTACTACTACTACT